ATGCGCGCCATACCAGAACTGTAGCTACTTGTAGCTACCCTGGGTCCGTATAAATAGTAAGTTGCTATACCTCTTACACACCTATACAAGTTCAAAGCACGAATGAGACTTCAAGGCTGTGGATTGCTGTGCGTGTGTAAAGGTTCTCAAGCGGTTGACGGAAAGGGAACTTGAAGTACTATACCTGGTAGCTGCACTATAGCTACCCTAGGTCTCTCTACCTTGCAAGGTGCCAACTACACCTTTCCATTCAGATGATGCAAATGATTCATTTGGCATTTCTTGCATCACCACCCCTCAAAAATCACCTCCAACACAACCTCAAAAAACCTTCCCTCGGAGCACCCTCCTCCCCCAGCATGTGCTGAGTTGACGTATACCTTTCTCGGGCCACCCCCCCAGACCCCCTAACTACTCACTTCGTTCGCCAGACACAACTCCGCTAGCGCCTTCTACGAAGGCTGGCTTTCGTAACTGTATACTGTAACAAGGCGCAAGCTGGCAATCAAAAGAGCGACCAAAGATGCCAAGGAGACATAGGCATAGATGCCTCAAATTGTGCTGTTCGCAGTGTCCGGCTGTGCCGAGTCCAATGGATACATGTAGAGCACGTCCAAGTGGTGAGGTTGCAAAAAACAACAAACAACAGATTCGTGGCAATCCAAGAAACGATGGTGCGGGCAGAATCTATTTTGACCACGAGTGGATGAGTTGGAAATCTGCCCAAAGGAGGCCCCAAGGAGACCATGGTTTGGGTATTGACACACTTTGGACGACAAAGGGGTTGATATCCGTGGCTTGCAGCCTCCAGGCTCAGAACACGTTTGACATGTCCTGCGAGGACGGGCGCCCGTCTTGAACATTTCCAAGTGATCCCACAACCGGTCTTAAAAGGCAAAGAGTTGCTCGATCATGGAAACATATGCCGTCCATGCATCCACGGCCGCCCTTTGAGGGTGATTGGAGACACTTTGATGTAGGCTTGGAGGGTCCAAGTACCCTCTAAGAAGCTATCTGCATTATGCGAATTATATGGGTCCCAAGGGATGGAGCAAAAACACACATATGAAATCATGCAGGGCCATGCCGGTTTCATCAGCAGCACTGTCATCAGCCTCTTTTCTTGTCCCAGGTGCGGAGGGGGATGAAGATCATCACCGTGGAGACGAACGTGCAAACGAGCACCGCCTGCACCTCGTTCACGCCTAATAGGCCCTGGATGTTGCTACCATTCATCACCTGAAAAGCGCAGTAGGAGGATGCACTGTGAATTAAAGGCCTATATAACGTTAGATGGCAAGTCGAAGCATTGAACATCCTTGAACCAAAGCATGGCCTTGAAATCATTCTTCAATATTCTTCATATTGGGGGCCAGTCACTACATGATTGGGGAGTCCCAGTCTGTCCACGCACTTGTTGAACTCAAAACTGTTCAAACCCAACTTGAATTCGAATCACAAAAAGGAACTTGAATGTAGCTCCCCTTCAAAAACATCACCCAAGACTTGCATCATATTAAAGCATGTGAATGCCTTCTAGCCCTTCTAGCTATACCTGCCGTTGGTCACTTTACCAGGCATTGGAATCCTTTCAGGGCCTCTCTCCGCAGGCACCAACCGCTCCATCCCGACCAGCGGCGAGGAAGGTCACCGCTGCGAGCCAGACCTCCAATGCAGTGATCACCTGCACCGGCACAGTCCCCGGCAGCCGAAGGCCACGAACAGGTGCCATGAGAGGTCATAAAAATCGACAGTGACGATCTGCCATGAAAACGATGAAATCGACTTGACTCTGCATGGGACCATGCTGTTGTACAATGACCCAATGCCAATGCTTCCAAGCTGCCGCCACCACGCATTTACCAGCTTGGCCAAAGGAGACTTCAGCCAAAAAGGTATAGTCCCTGGTGCTTGGTTGCTGCCCACCCCCGATGTGGCTGCATCTCGACATCATCAGCTTCCTGATGATTGGATCAAATTTTACCACTGCAAAAGAACTTCTTGGTCCGAAATGCCATGAAGGCACCTTTCTCCGTGCTTAAGCATTCTTGTCCTTGCGGGGGCGATGCTCAAATAGATACACTATGGTTTCTATGTAGCTTCATGGTTACTTGGGCGTTCTTGCTCGTTTCCATCTATCTACAATCAGTGGCTCGGCTGGGCAAAGGAATCGTAGCCTCTTTGGCAGAGTTTCTTTAGACTGGGGACTAGCGTAAGGCGGCAAGCGTTTGTTTGCCCACAAGCTTGTTCATTCTGGCTCTGCTAGGCTGCTAGATACTTTGTCCTTTTTCTCTTCCATCGCCCCGATATGCCTCGATCGCCCCTAACAGTGGTCGAGGCATTCATTCCTCAAGCATGCTCCCTCGGGAGCACTTCCCTATTTATATATGTTATTTATACTGTACTCATCAAAATAGCGATCAGGTTGAAAATGCACCTGAGAGGTCTCCGAGCTTGCTTCTCTGAGCATGGCTCACATGCATGAATTGATTGAACTGAGGATCAAAACTCCCAGCACCTTTGTTGGGATCTCTCGGCAAAACATGCGCATACACTCCATACACCCCCCATCAAGTTGTCTCCTGGATCCTCTCTTCTCCTTTGCCGCTGGCTGCCCTGTCTCGGTCCGAGTGTCTCGCCAATGAGACAGGCCGTGAAGGCGGTGAGAAGCACCACCAGCAGCAGCAGGGAGACGGCCCAGCCATTGGTGAGGCTGAAAGCAAAGGGCACGGCCAGCACGCCGCTGCCCATCCTCAACAAACCAGGGATCAAGGGAATTATAATCCAATGAACCATGGATGAGGATGGACGAGGTATATTTGAGCCGGCCTGGGCCCGGAAAGGCTGAGGGAAGTACCACGGAAGTCATTCTACAACCTGGACCATATAGTATACCCGTTTTTGTGAGTCGAGCTTGGTGCTTGCTTTTTTCTGGAGTGCAAGGGGCTGCAGTGTTTATGCTAGAATCATAGTGACATGCCTCCAAGTTGGCATCATGGCTTCTGCTGTAGCCGGCGAGCTACTGGTGCTTGACAAAGACCGTCACAGGAAAGCGTGAACGGCATAAACTACTGTACACTGCAATTGGAGGTCCTACAATGTCCTACTGTGTGTATCTGCGCCAGAGTGTCATGGTGTTGGCCAGGTTCAGCACTGTCTCACAGCTGTTCATCTGCCCTTCTGCCGCCTCCTTGTCATGCTTGGCCTGGCGGCAGGGTGAGGCGCCCCAAATAAGCAAGAAGGACCAGCAGCGCGACAACCTGCATGCCCATTGAAATACAGTATATTGAAACCCACTTAGACTTAGACATGTGTCTTTTGGAGGTCTATGTTGGCAACCTCTGCTGGCCCCTGCTCCTTAAGACAATCCTATAGAGCTCCATGCGGCCAACCCCAGCCAAACAACGGCATCAAAACCACATGAAATGGTCTCAGTTGGTTTACATCCGGATGGGTTTGTGCCGTTCGTGCAACGGCCGTTTCGGCCGCCCTCAACGCACCCTCCCTGCACCCAGAACGCGAGAACGTTGGCGCCTCAGGAGAGCCCGGCGGCAAGAGCTCGGGCACGAGATCTTCTCCACCCCAGGCCATGGCGATGGTTTGGGCTTCTTCCACGCCCCGCGGGACGGCGGGGACGGCGGGGACGGCACCTCACGCCGCTACACTCGGGCCGCGGATGGGCAGAGTTTTGAACGACACCACGGGTCTGAGACGTGGCGAGGAGGGCGTCACGGGTGTGACTTCCTGATGAACCTGGGCTGGTCGTGATGAGAATGGAAGGTTTTCACAAGCAGCACCTACTATGTGGATAGCGACAGCACTTCCGAAACAATATACATACAGACTCATAATGGTTAGCTTCTACAATAGTCCCTTGATTGGGTCTGCTGGTAGTTTGGGTCGGTGGACTTGTGAGTCCGTCTCATCCCAAAAGAGACCGTGATTGCTTAAAGCAATCCACCAGTGCCAAGTACAGCGATCAATGGCCTACACAGTGCGAAGAAAACCTTTCTCAGTAAAAAAGGCACGACTCACATGTATTTTGTTTGGATTATGAGGTTTGGGATGGCTTGGGCACTTTGGACAAAACCAAATCTCCCCACAATCGGACCGGGCCCTCCCTTCACCCACTTCGTCAAACCACTCGATTCTCTCTTCGGTCAAAGCCTCTAATCTATAGTTTGTAAGTACGGACTTGACATTTGTGATTGCTTGTGATTGCCATACATTGCCATACAATCTCGGCGTAAAAGCGTGGCCTTGGTGGCCACCACTTAGATGCATCAAAATTTATTCTAATCATGCTTCCTCACACGTCCAAACATCAATCTGCCACAAGCTGTCCCCCCAAAACAACAAGCACGTCGCAGAACCCCAGCTGAAGTGATGAGCAGCTCAAGGGCACAGCTGGCGGCGACGCAGCCTGCTGCAGAGATGAACCGCACAGGCTCATGGGGAGTAAAAAACCGGGGGAACAACACGGAAAGTGTGCTGACTTTGCGTGCGCATGGCGGAAGACTGATCGACTATGATGAACATTGCCTGCATCAGTTGTTCTTTTGCTGTTTGTTGTTCTTTGGTTTGGGTGCGCGGCACTGTGCACCACTGCTCGTAGCTGCTAGTATCTGATGGAGATCACCTCAAATAGCAATCCACAAATTCATAAATGAATTGTATAGGCTATATATCTATGTCATAGGTGGGTCTGTATTAGGAGACCTCAGCCTCTACCCGCCCAACCAAATAAACACAAATCATGTTAAAAGTGAAAGCATGAACGGTTCCCATTCAGCTTTCAGGCTATGACCCAGAACATCACCCCCGAGCTACAGCTGCCGTTTCCAAAGGCGCAAGGGAAACGGCTTGCGCCCCGAAAACTGTGAACAACCCGCCTTTCCGGTGAGGGCTGTACATCCTGTTCCGAGCGCCGAGTCCGGCTTTCGGAGCTCGGAACAACACAAAGTAAGAGGGGAAACATTCACTGGTCACTCTTAGCTACTCAGGCATCCTCAGGCATCCTCAGGATGCCTGTGCATGTGACATGTCAGTGGAACTGGATGTGACACCTTCCATGATGGTGTAATCAAAAGCGGTCAGAAGGTGGGCCATGTTGGGCTTGTAAATCTGCGTACTTCTACCGTAAAATCATAAAATCCCACCAAGGGTGGCGTCAACAAAGGAAGGGTTCAACAGAAACGACGGAGATCTCAGACTGAAGTGAACACAAGCATTCCTTTCAAAGAAGCCCTCAGCTTTTTAAACACTACCATGGTCTTTGAGTCGATGGGTGATCTCTCCACAAGTCACTGAACGGTAGATGCGATCTTGGAACATCCCTCCAAAAAGAACTCATCAAGGAAGTAGCGGAGCAAAGGAAACACCCACTGTGCACCAAAATGGGGCGGCTGAAGGATTGACTGACATTCAGCATTCAAAGAATATCTCTGGCTGGCACCTAGAGCGCTCTCCTTGCTCATCCTTCATCGCACTGGAATTCATGGTCAGCACGAGACAAGGAGCCACTACTTAGACTCTTTGGATCTCTTTTGGACTGCTGGAAGCAGCACTCCGAGCAGAAATCCTTTCCCGCTAACCGCACCATCGATCGTGGGCGGAGTTGGTCCCATATCCTCCCATCCTCCGACTCCTGAACTTCTCACCGGGTGCCTCAAAGGCACACCAAAAGACAAAGCAAAGGTGGAGCCTGGGCAATACGGAGAGCTCAAAGGCTCAAATGTTAATTTGGCTGCAGGTGGGACACTTCGCCAAGGCGGGGATACAGGGCTGTCAAGGGGGAAAAAAAGAAAAGGATCACATTCCAAGCATGACTTCCCCGAGGTCCAGCAAACCAACTGTGAAGAACAACGGTTGACACAGTTTTGATTGGGTAAAAGCTTGAACACCACCTCCTGAGCACCGTAGTCTAGAATACGGTGGGTGCTGGGGGTAAAAACGATCACTGTATATTGATAGCATTCCTGAATTCAAAATGATACTGTACTACTTTTGAACACTAACATGGATGGCAATATGATGGCATGATGGTACTCTACCCACCAAACACCCCCCCCAAAAAAAAACACGGCGACGGCGTTCTTTTCAGGTCAAATCCAACCAGCGGACCCCGGAAGACCATTGACAGCGCAACTTCGCACGGGTCTCTCCGTTGCACTGCAGTGACCCCCAAACTGAGCATTGGACTTTTCACGGCCACAGGAACTGCTCGACTATAAAGCCTCAGGATGAAACACCGAATGGGTTCATCGCTCGGATGGGTTGCCAGCTGGAAAGGGTGCATAGATGTTCATAGACTTATGGAACCTCATGAACTTCAAACCCTGGACTTCATGGATCACCTCAAAGGAGTGGAATCCCATGCAGCTCTCTCAGCCCTCTTCGCAGCTGGTGCATGCGAAATCCATCGTGCATGTCCGTCCAGCCAGTCCGAATCCGCGACATCTTTTGCCGTAAGGACCGGCGCAAGTCAAACATGAAGCTCAAGAAGTCCTTCTGAGTCACACCCAGGAATTGGCAGAACTTCAGGTCCTTGGCACACATGGCATGTTGAGGGGAAGCTCTTTAAGGCTTGGATGATTGAGCAAACCCAATTTCTGATATTTTGAGGCAGTGCGCTCCCAAGCAGCACAGTTGTCAGGGTTCGTCATTGATGGTCAAACTAAGAGAAAAACAAACATGTTGAACATCATGTTTCTGCCACCAACCCAGAAGCAAGAGCCTCCCACCTAATAATTAGCAATGGCCTCCAACCTGTTTAACGAATTCCATCTTCAGTTGGAAAAGCTGGCTGATGGGCAGTTCTGCACCAAGTCACATCCGCAATGGCCAGGATCCGTAAGGGACAGCGAGAAGCAACGCCCGCGACGCTGTCGCCAGCGACACCCAGGTGCTGTAGGAAGCGGCTGCGGGGAAGGAGCCGCGCTTCAAAGGAATACCTCAAAGTGGGCTGGAAGTTTTTGTTAAGGAATACATCATCGAGATAACATGATTGAAAGTCTCTGTGTGAATGATTTGGGTGAGCTGATGCCTTTCTAAACCTGAGGCAACCCTGGAGATGGCTTCATTCTATCAACAATCACTCGGATCAGGGATGAGTGCCTATAAATATATATAGTGTGTGATACATGTCAATGTACATGCAATTACTGATAATTTCCTTTCATATCGCAAGGCTCCTCCTAGTGCTCCTCCTACAAAGGTCGACAGCTGTTGCACTTCTAAAGGGATGACGGCAACATCTGCATCAAAACAGGGATGAACAAGGGAGACCTCCCAAAACCCCTACACGGAGTAAAACTCACAGAAACCTATTGGTTAGGGGATGGAGCCCCACTCCAAAAAATGAAGGAAACTCCGTCATCTTGGCCCAACCGACTGCAACGTGCCGCGCGTGTGCCGCGCGTGTGCCGCCCTTGTGCCGTGTCATCGGACGGAGCGACCGAGCGCGCCCGATGGAGCCCAGTGACCCGAGCGCGTCGACATTTTCTCGGAGCTCCTCCATGGAATAGCCCAGCTCTGTCAGATGCTGTGCCTCTCTCGATTCTCGCTCGTCTTCAGCACGAGCTTAGGTGCGAAGCATCAGGGGGTGCTGCGTTTTGGCCGTAAGCTTGGGATTGAGTTTGTGGCATGCCGAAGTTCCATGCCGTTCAGAGCAACAATGTTCACAAGAAATCACCCTGCAAAATGGCAGTTGTCTCAGATCATAAGATTCCTTGTACGATTCCAAGTTCCACTGAACAGTCTTCAAGTCGCAGATCTGCTTCGAAAAGTGTTGAAGGTATGCTGTTCTTCGGCCAAGGGTAGTCAACATCATGACCATGACCCAGAAACACGGATTAGTTACAGTGCCCATCAAAAATGGAACCATCATGTATTTATACCGTGGGACGTTTTGACCTTCAAACCCTTTCAGCTTGCTACGTGCACTCTGAGGAAAAGCCGGTCCAAGCTCAGTTCCTCGCAGCGGGTCTGCCCTGCCCGTGGTGACCTCCCAAAGCAACTCCATTTTCTCTACCTATAGCGATGGCCTCCAACCTACTACGCAGCGATGGCCTCCAACCTACCCTGTCTACCCTGCCTACCCGGGGTTTGCAAAGGACACTCCTCGGCACCGAAGGGTTTTCAGCTCTGGGTCTTCCCGGCGGCACGTTGCAACATCTCCACCGCATCCGGCCAAGCATAGAAGGCCAAACATCGCTCTGCCGCTGGGTCGATGCCTACTTGGTGCCGCCTCAGAAACCGGTGCACACGTTGGTGTAAGGCCCCACGAACACATCATGCTTCCTTCGAAGAATCCCAAACGACCCGTTTCTTTCGGATGCTAACGAGAAACATCGTTTTGTTTTTGGGTGTCCCAAGTACCTAGTGGTAAGAAAGCCACTCACCAAAACATGTTAAACACCAACGGTTTTGGGGAGAACAGTTCATCAAGTGAGGGATACCATCTGTGACTCATTTGTCTCCGTCATTTCCACCCCCAACGTCCAGGAACTGACCCTCAAAACGGTCCGCTGCATGTCCGCAAGCGGATGTTCTGAACGCCCAACAGGTGGCTGTGGGATGGAGATCGCTGTGGGATGGGGGATCTCGTCTCGTGATGGTTTCAGGTAAAGCTGGAACAATCTTGAACAGTTGAATATAGGAGTGAGTTTCGGGGGACTGACTACAGTAAGTAAGGGGTTTGAGTCTGGAGATTGATGTGAGTTGAGATAGCGCTGGCTGAGGCTGAAACAGGTTGAAGCTCCCCAAAGAGGGGGGACAAAGGTAGTTAAGTCAACCGTCAACCCTACAATTCTGGGGAGCCAAACCGTTGCGTGTTATGTTTGGGGTAAAGTGCCAGCTGGAGGAGCATGGCAAGGGGAATCCTAGCCGGTCGGCACTACATTCCATGACCTAAACAAATCAATGCCATCCCTTCCCCACTTTCATCGACCAGGCTCAGGAAGGCGACTAACGGCGCCAGCTGCTCAGAAGGCTTCCGGGTCGCCAGCAGAAGCATCGGGGAGCGGCGCGTCACCTGCGAGCCGGGCAATCGACAAATTGTGCTTTCACCGGTTGGCCTCATGATAGCGCGGACAAGTGTCGCAGGTCCCTTCTCTGCCCTGATTCCGCGTGGACCCTTTGTTTTTCATCTCACGGCAGCGCGTCTCTTGGAGTCTCTGGTGAAACGAAACAGCCCATGGCTGCTCATATAGATATTGAAATACAATAATGTTTGAGTTGAGCATCCCTGTCCAAGCGCCATCAAATGCCAACGAGATTTGGGGTATAAAGCAACCATGGTTTTCACATGTTTTCACACGTCTGTGGTGGGAGGTGTTTACTCAGGACATTTGTAGTGTTTTATATATATATATATATAGTCAGTAGTTTGAAGTGGGAGTTGGGAAGCAGCAGGTGGCGAGCTGGCAGGAAATCGATACTTCGCTGCGGACCTTTCTCAAGAATCCATTTCATCTTGGCAGTCCGCGACCCCTTGAGACTTTTTCTTGGAAGTCTTGGGCAGTGTGGCATGGCCACCTGTTGGAAATTCTGGAAGCTGCTAAACACTAAGCCATGAACAAAGGTCCCGCTCATGATGTTGACGTCCCAAGCGATCTTCTCCACACCTATGCTGGGCGTACTGATGGGGAGCCTTCCCCTCAAGCCAAAGGTGATCAAACAAGAAACATGTAGAACCTGAAAAAGCAGTGTCCAGGAGAAAGAATGGACTCTTAATCAGTAGATCTCATGCGGCGTTTCTCCGCAAGGGCTCCTTTCCCTGACACCAGCAGTGACTCGCAAAAAGGATGTGAGGCGCTTGGCCTCAGTACACCTCAGTACACCGCATGGTCGTGACTTCTTCGGGAGTGGTGCTGCTTGACAGCGCCACTCATATGATGAGCCGAGCTAAGCTTGGGGCTCCAAGTTCGTACCCTACGGCCCTAGACCGGTCTTTGCCAATGCACCATCTTCTGCCTACGGCCCTAGTGGTGTGATCAGAAATATTGACATATCCATCCCGCAGGCTTAGCTGATGTGAGACCTCACCATGCCGTACCCTTCCAGTTTCCTTCTCAAGCAAGTAGCCAGGTATTGCTTGTTCGTTGCTTTTGGGCAGGTGGCGTACAAAAGCGCAACTGGAGGGACCTTGATTTTTCAACTGCAGGATGCCTGGCCAATCATCCAAACATAGGATCGAGGGCCTCATAATACCCCAGACTGGGAAAACCACATGAACCAAAGATCGAGACTGGCCAGGACAGCGGCCAACGAGCGGCTCTGTCTATAGGCGGTGGCCGGAAGTGTGAGCACCGTTGGATCCCACTTGGGCACACAACAATCAATAATGTTTGTTTAAGCATGCCTAGCCATGATTACAGGACCCTTCTGCATTTACAAACCTGCAGTAATTTCCGGGCAACCAAGCAATTCCAAGTAGGATCTGTTCTTCAATTGAAGCAGGCGCTTCACTGCGGCTCTCAGCACAGGGGCTGACCGTCGGGGATTCCCCACGTTGTCTTTGACAAAAACACTTCGATCAAATCGAAGAAGCAGATCGACCGGTTTGTGAGGAAAGGTTCTGGCCATGCAGCTATATATAGCTGTTCAGCACCTTTTGTTGGTACTACAAACCAAGGTCTTCAGTCACTGTAGTTTTTGTTTACAGTGCTATTGACATTTTTTGGGTTGGCCAGGATCGAAAGTCATCTGCCTCTCGGATCGGCTTTGGGTGTCTTTACCCTGGAAAAAACCGGCCGCGCGCAGACCTTGCCAAGGGCCTCCAAACCAGTGGGACTGAGATTGTGCTCCCCAATCACCAAATTTGTCAAGGCCATCTTGTGACGGAGATCATGCAAACTTCTTGCCGTTCCCCCACAATGCCTTCATTCCCCCCACGTGGTCTGTAGCCTCAGGAAGTCATGCGGTGGTCCAAAACGACCAGCGGCCCTCCCGTGTGAAAATCGGGTCAGATCTTCGGCTGCAATGTGCCCAAATCAGAACCTGAGTGAAATGAATCCAAACCAGACCCACTGACCCACCCCGACCCCGGCCCGACCCGCCCCGACCGCCACTGTTGGGTGAGGAACTCCATGGTAGCCCTCGGACAACCACCCTTCTTCTGAGGCTTGACATGCCTCAACTTGTTACTTCCTCCGGAACTTCCTCCTATGCTTTGAGCACACTTGTTGGCGTGCCCGATCTGCAGTGCATCTGGAAGAATCCAGTCTCGAGGGTATTTACCTCGAGGCTTACATCTGCATCCTCCTTTTTCCCTTCTGAAGAGAAACAAGTGGGCCAGCCAAACATGCTCAGCTGCATTTGTTCCAGTCTAACGAGGCGTCACACACCTTTTCAAGCATCTATCATTGCACTGCACTCCCGCAAAATATATATATATAAGCTAAACATGGACAACACCTTCCTACCTTCTACAGGGGGCTGCCAAGTTCCCCCAGGCCTTTTCTACCTCTTCTTGTTTCGGAAACTGCATGACACACCGCTGGGCTGTTTACGGGCATTGAACAGGCTCACCGCTGCAGTGTCACTGCACGACGGCGGCTTCCGAGTCGAGCCGGCATCGAACGCAACGGCCGTTACGGCCAACATCGCGAGGAGCTGGACATCGTGGAGGTGGCTGACTTGAACAAATGCTCCCTGACCTTGCTGCCTTTGGCATTGACACCTAGGTGGGGTCAGAGCGGCTTCGGTTTGGCAAGAGCGGTCCGGCTCATGAAACAGTGTAGATACACGGCTTCGTTGTTGATGGGGGCGTTTACAAATAGCATGCAGTTGCTTTGTTTCTGATCATGCAACACCCATCTTGAAAGACCCAGCAGAAAGTGCATTCCAAGAATTGCACCTATCAGAACACTCTCGCAGGAGGGTTGTTGAACCCTCTTGAGGTCGCAATTGGTGACATGCTGGAAGGTGGTGGTGCCAGGACTCAATTGTTTATTTGTTCAAGGGTGATGCTGAGAGGTTTCCAGTCTCCATCAGTCGGGGACATGAGAGGGTTCCAGCTACCCACAAATACAGCCATAGGCTATAGGTAGCAATGCATCGGCAAGTCTCCAGCATGATGCTCACGCTAACATAGAGGGACATGTTTTGGGTCCCGAGTATGGACTTGCCATGGCTTGCCATGGCTTGTCATGACAAAACTGCACCAGTCACGACGCCGTCCATCCAATCACCTCGCGGGATCATCGGTTTCTGCGGATCACCGTGCTTCCAAGGGGCAGAAGCTCCGGGCTCGAACCTCTAAGTCGCCCATCTTGGTCTTATGAAGGCCTGTCTTTGTTCAGCCGTGGGTTGGAGTGGGGCACCCAAGTCCTAACAAGTTGGATTTGTGCGGAAACCATCAAGGACCTACAATGAAGTCAGGTGCTGAAGTGACACTCACCGAAGCAGCAAAGCCCCAAGCCGCTCCCCCTTTGACCCCACGTTAAAGACTTCACAAAAAGACCACCTCCAAGCCATGAAAAACGAGAAAAGTCAATACTTTCTCCAAGCCCTGCCCTGCATGGAAAAATCCGACCATAGGATCTCCGGACCTTCCCCGCCTAGGTCATCCACCTCATCCACATTGATGGTCTCCAGGTGCCCCACATACAAAATCCCAAAGATCTGCCTCGGGTCGATGCGATGAGACGCTGCTCCAAAGCAGCAAAGGTATAGGGGCTTCCCCCGACAAACAGGCCGCTTGCTTTTGGTTTTAACAATAATAAAGATCTGTTATCTGTTATGATATGTTATGCTGCTGTGTCTGCTTACATGATTGTTGAACGGGAGGGCCTCCCTTCAAATCCATGTGGGAGGCCTGGGACAAAGTCAGAGCTCCCAAACAGAACGGCTTCAATTGATCTGGAGCTGCAGGTGATTCCTACAGTAGTCCCAGGTTTCTGTCAGACGGCAGGTGACTCCTGCGGGTGCCTGCTTTCAAGTTTTCACCCGTCCGACTCAAGGCCCAGGGTCTTCTTCCCAGTGACAAGGGCATGTTCAATAATCCCGTCCCCCTAATAATAAACACGGGGCCCCCCCCCCCCTCCCCCCCTATTAAAAAAACCTCGGTCGCATTTTTTTTAATAGGGGGTCCCTGAAATCGGGGGGTCCAAAATAGGGTCACCTGGGAAGAGCTTCAAAACCAAAAAGTAAATCCGTAAAGTTTTATATAAAATCCTTTATTAAACTCGTATCAAAAATGCAAAAAAGCTCCAGATCGAAGGGTCTTCCTTTTCCCCTACAAAAACCTTCATTAGAATAGTTATTCTTCGGTAGACTAACAGCTAAAGCTTTCGAAAGGTGATGTCGCTGTGCCATGCGGTGTTGCATGACCTCGGTGGCAAGTGCGTTTGCGTGAGTCCGTGCCATTGGGGGAAGGAAAGCCTGCTGGTGTAAGCGCGGCGTGTCATGGTGGATAGACAGGGCGGACAGAGGTGGGCAGTTACGGTTGTTTTTGGGGAACCTAATAAAAAAACTACCCCCAAAATCGACCATGTTGGTAGTTTAGTAGCGGTTTGAAAGGGCGGCAATTTAAAACCAAATATAAACCGAATTTAGGGGTTCGGACGTGGGGTTTTTTTAATTGGGGAGTGTTTATTAATAGGTACTCGGGATTATGAATCCTAAGAAAACATAAGAAAACGTGTTTAATCCCACCTGAAGAACCAATTGGTATCAAATATTATGTTTTCTAACTTGCATAGAATTTGGATGATATGGTTGATGTCGATTGTATATGATGTATATGGTGCTACGTTCCCATGTTCCACCCAAACCTGGCCCGAACACGTGTGAAGGCAAGAAACATACCGCGGAATGTTTCTGAGTGATAGTCAGTTCAACCAGCTGCAGCACTTTATTTAACAAATATGTACAATTATAAATTATAATAAGTCGATATATTATATTCTTTTAAAGTTCCACATTGCATGATTGTGTAGGGCAACGGGGGGCCATTACCAGCTAGTGTCCAACGAAACCGATCTGGCATGGTGGTCTTCAGACACCAATGATCGACACATGGTCTGGCACCAAGCCTACCAATGGCTCAGTCCGCGCCAAGCGGCAAATAGCGGCTAATGAAGCCTCCAAACTTCACAGCCGACGAGGCAAATCCATCCGCGCGAATCAAGGTGAAGTATCCTGCGAACGACGATGTATCGGCGTCGTTCGACCTCTGTGCGGTAACCGGGGAACAAAGGCCTATACCTTGACCAGCAAAAACCATCAAAAACAAACATATTGCTAGGAGCTCACATGGTCTTTACCCTCGAGGCAAACTCAAAAACACCACACGTGCTGCATATTACATCATATTACTATGCTGCTCTCTCTCTCTCTCTCTCTCACGTAGACTCTAGACTCTGACTCAACTCAATGCAACCTACGGTCAAGTGCATTTCTGAGGTTCGCTGGGACGGCCCCCCGTGCAGGTTTACTGTGGGCACTCTTACAATCCGATGTTCCAAGCATGTGAGGTCACAGTGCTCAAAAGCACGGCTGTAGTTCAGCCAAGCAAATCAATACCCCAGATCGGAGGGGTCTTAGATGGGAGTTATTTTGGGTGAGAGTTTTGAGGTGCAAAAAAATGATAATATATGATAAAGGTATATCTAAAAATGAGAAAATCAATGAGCAAGTGAAAAACAATGTGAAAAAGTCATCAAATGTCAGGTCAACCAACCAGGTTCAATCACTTGCCAAGCCCAAATTTAAAATAAATATACTATAATATATATATAAGTCTATACCATATATCAACCAACCCGGGTGACCTGTCTTGGCCCTGTATTTTGAGAAGCTGGACTTGGACATTAACCTTGACCTTGTTGGCGCCTGGTCCTCAGCAAATGACATGCACTGCAGTTGGCATATTTATTAGGTTTGGTTTTCTTAGGTAGTGGATTCTGAAAGATCATTTGATCAGTTGTTCTTGGCATTGGTTTGGGCTTGTTGTTTCATGTGGAATGCCATGCATTTGCATAGTTTAATAATTATATATGAACAAATCATATGAACAAATCATGAAGCGTCTTTTGCTATTATTATATTGGTGTGCTATTATTATATTGGTGAAGGTTGGCTGTCCTTGGCATTGTCTTGATGTTGACTTGTTGGGCTTCTTGATTCTTTGGTTGACTTGTCTGGCTTGTTGATTTGACATGGCCATGTTGCTTGACCCGTTGCCTTGATATGTCACCGCTGGATTCAGGTGTGACTGGGCTTGGCAAATGTGGGACGCTGCTTCTCCTGGTTGGGGCCCTCAATGAGTTTTGTCAAGAGATCCAGCTTCACTGATGATTCACTTAAGTGGTTGGGTTGCACCCACTCTTAAACCTCAAACTCTTGCCACTAGTGGTTCAGAGACAACCTCCATGCACAGTCACAGGGCAAGCCATGAAATGTCACATCACTGATATGCACAATCATGCACATGAAACTCACAACATTCACTGGAGCTTCACATTCAGAATGATCCATTCACTGGAACTTCACAACATATCACAACAACACCTCTGACTCACTGCTCATCATCACATTGACATTAGGCAGCTGTAGTTGGCAGATCCTGGCTGCGATGTCGGAGTTTCTTTCGGTGGGCTTGGTCCGGGCCTACCTCGAGGCCTTGATGAGGAGGCCTACCACGGAGGACCAGGCGCAAAGGATCATGACGGATAACATGCTGCTACTTGGCAGAAATGGCAGTTTTAGATGTCACTATGTTTTGGGTGCTGCTTACCTGGCAGTCATGGGTGCTACTTGGGAATCCTTCAATGTGGAATCCAAGGCTAGTGAACTTGCTGGAGGCATTGTCTGAGAACAGCGATATTGGTGGTGCTACAGAGCACTACAACCACAGAGTGTGCCTTGCTTTTGATTTCTTTGCCATGGCATAATCATGATTTAGATTGATGTGTTTGGTTCATGTTCAAGGGCAACTGTAACAGTTTGGTGCATGCTGAGTTCAAGGGCAATTGATCACATGCTGAGTGCAAGGGTTGTTGATGGGTTGATTCATGCTGACTTCACGCAAGTGCTGACTGTGTTGCATGCATTGTTGCCTTGATCAGGTATGGACCTGGATGCTTTGTGATTCCGTTGGAGGCAGCGGTTCGTCATCGAGTGCTTGGGAACATTGGCTGCAAGTAGTTTGGCTGGGTTCCTTCAGTCTGAGGTCACTGGATCACCTATGTCTTAGTCTTATGTTGTAGACTGATTCAAGGTTTCTGAATATTATTGGAAGTTGTCCAGGTGACTGAAGTCTCTCATCCCTTGCTGTCACTTAGGATTGGCTGTGGGAAGCTCCAAAGCCTCCAGGAGAACGCTGTCAATGTATGGCTGCTGCTGGAAGGCATGGGCAAAGAGGATGTGACCCAGGCGGCGGTGGACAGGATGAACTGTTGGTGGAGGACCAGAGCCGCTGACAAGGTTGCAGTCCCCTATAAAGGCCAGATGTTTGTCATGCAGCACTACTTTGGAGATGGCCCGATCTTTTCCATCGTGACAGATGAGTCTGGAGACTTGTAGTTGTTTGGTATTGTTTGATTGTTGGAAGACTTTACTTGTTTGGTTGTTGGTGCTGGCTAAGTTCAATCAATAATAATAGGTCTCAGTCAATACTTGGTGTCCAGTGCAACCACTGAATGAATTCTGAGGACGGAGCTTGAGCATGCAATGTCTTGGCTTCCTGATGGTCCCGGCGACGATCACTCTGGTGGATGATCCTGGCACTGATTGCTGATCAGAAGCCCCTAGAAGCATCCTTGCTCCTAGTAGCGATGCCGGCTTTGACAGTTGAGGAGTGAGAAAAAAGGCGTTGAGTGGCTTGTGGTGACATGGCATTGATGTGAGCATGGCATGTTGTTGTTGAATGCTTGTTCATGGCATGCTTGATTGATTGTTCATGGCATGTTGTTGACTATAGGCTGGCAGGAGTTAGAAGTGGTAATGGGCGTGGCATTATTGATGTTGATCTGTTTGGCCTTCATGAACTGACATTGACTCAGTTTGTGCACTTGTGCATTCATACAATCTCATTCACAAGTTTCGATCACATGTTTCTTTTGCGCACTTGTGCAACCATACATACAATCTCCACAATGAGTGGGAGTGTTTCTTTTGTTTGCCCGCCTGAGGTTGGACTTGTGAGCATGCCTTTGCCCCCGCCTCATCTCTGGCATGTGGGTGATGTAGAGGTGATTTTTTGAATTGAGTACAATTTGATTCAAGTTCAATCAAGACTCTAAGACATGTCAACGTTGTCTCTTGAGGTGTTAGCATTTTGTGCCACTGTTGGATTGACTTGGAACTGACTGTTTACCAACATATAAAAGGAATCCACAGAATAATAATACACATGACAATTGTGTCACATGCCTTGGAGTTGAACTGAGTGAAGTTGGAGTGATTGAAATTGAATTGAGGGGTAGTGGCTGACAAAGTTCAAGTGAAAAGATTGAATTGATTGTGTTCAGTAATGTGAAAAGTGAGTGATTTAAGGTAGTGATGACACGGAGACATACAGAGACCAAATGCTCACACTGGGACCTGAGGCTTCTGTGTCTGATGACACTTGCGGAACTGTTTAGTTGAGGTGCCAACAGCTGGGAAGTGTCGGTTTCACAGTTGTGGGAGAGTTTGAGAGGTAGCATTGGGATTTCTTGTTCAGCAAGATGTGGTATTGTGAGTGAGTGTGAATTGGTTCATGGAGTGTGCGCCTGAATCAATCAATATAATATTTTGCAGGTTGTGATGTGCTTGGTCTTTTGCGAGTTGTTTCTCATCAAGCCAAGATATTCAAACAAGAAAAACAACTATTCAATATATTCAAGCAATTGTTGTAAACTGAAGACATCTTAGGCACTAGTCAATCAACTACACCAACAATAATGAGTACAGTAAGTTGTCAGTCACTTCATTATTACAAGCACAATCAAAATGGTGGCATGTCACATCACTATTGTGTTGGCACTTGAACATGTCAATTCACTACTGTGTAGCAATGACATCAGTGAACGATGTCATCCTGGTGGCATGGGGCGTTGACTTTGTTTATGGTGGTGGCAAACATGGCAAAGGTGGCAAATCTGGTGGCAAGGGCAGAACTTGCATGCCTGGCATTCTGAAACGAGTCTTGTCACTTGTTAAATTTGTTGAATGCAAAACACAATTGAATTGAGTTCAATCATTCATAGCTATCCTGTTGGTTGACAATTGATGGGGGGAAAGCAATGGTTGGTTGATTTGTTGATTGACTGCTTGACTTATTATTGAGTGGTTGTTCATTCATGCTTCATCATTCATTTGTCAATGGGTTCATTTGTTCAATGATTCATGCGAAGATTGATTTTTGGATTGAGTGACAGACTGGTTGGTTGAAAGTAAACTGTTGGCTGTTGGCCATCTGAGGCGAATTTCCAGATGCCACCCACATCACCATTGACATTAGGCAGCTGTGGGAGGAAGATCCTGCTGGTCGTGTAAGTGCCTGGGAAGCAAAATTAAAATGAAGCAAGTGTCACCTGAAGGACTTGTGATCAATGTGAACCATTTGCACATGTCACTCACCAGGTCCACTCACCAGGTGCAAGTCAAAGTGTGTGCGACTATTCGAGTCTTTGATTGATTCATGAGCCAAGGTGGGAATGTGGCCAGGGATGCGGACACCTTCAGGGCAATTGCGTGGAGTGAGGCCTGCCAGAAGGTGGTGGAGTACTTGGTGGGGATGGTGAAGCACCACATCAATGTGGATGGCAAGAAGCTGGTGCTTAGTGTTGTGTGCACCTTGACACAAAGAGATTAGAACATGAGTGTAGTTGAGTGTAGAACATGATTGCACCTTGACACCTTGAGTCATGTGTAAAGTTGGTTAGAACATGCGTTTGTATTGAGTTTGTGTATGTTGTTTACAGTTGCTTGCACTTTGCACTTCTATTGTAATTGGGCCATTGCATGCACTTGCTGCTGGGCAAGGCACCAAGGGCTTGCACAGATCAGCAACTGCTGTGATCGTCTCCGCCCTCGTTCTTGGCTGCCGCTTTCTGCTCCCTCCCCACTTTGGGTTGCTTGGATAAAGTACATATTCAGTCAGTGTGCAAGCATCAGGTCTTGTCATATCATTGATCAACTTGACTCAATTGAAT